GAAGTTTGCACCCCTGACGGACCCGGGACTGGAGACATTTCCATTGTTCTGTTATTCACAATACTTTCCTTTAATACATTTGGTGGAGTTCTTTCGATTGAGGCCGATGGTGGACTGTCTCGAGCAGAATTTTCCTTATTTTCTAAATATTGTTGCTCTATTGATAAACTGTTATTACCTTTATCTTCTATGTTGGTCGTCTCTGAGGGTTCAAAGAGTTCTTCAGGAAATATTTCTGGGTTCATGGGACATATCCCGGCGGCGTAATGGCATTGTTTACTACGGTGCAACGCAGTACTAGGTTGCATCGCAGTAAAGTATGGCAAAATATTAGCGGCGTTTGATTTGATAATCCTTACTGCTTTACAACGCTGCTGTTAGCTGTAGTGTAGTAAGCTTTGGCCGCAAAGAAGGCGATAGTTAGTAAGACATTGTTTACTGCACTGCAACAGAAATGATGCATTAAGTCTTATCTATGCAGATGCGAGCGCTTATTTCGCAAATGATTAAAATTGTTTAGTTTTAACTTGTTAACTTGTAGGGGCGTAGGTTTTTTTTTGGAAAAAATTATTTACGCACCTATCTCCTACACGGTGGAGGGAAGGTACCAATATGGTTCTTTTGTTTTATTTTATACCTATTAGTAGGTACCATATATACCTTACAACTATAGCTTGACCGAACCGATTCAGCACCTTCATTCATCTCCAGTTGAAGAGTTATTTAAACATTTCGAAAAACTTAGAGACGTTGCAAAAAATTGAAGAACACCCGAGATGGCAAACGGTATATTGAAATTAAACAAAGTCCTTAGACAAATTTCGACTCCGATGCAAATATTAAATTAGGTACATTCACAGCGTTAAACAATCCCAAGGAACCCGTAAAATCGGAGTTCAGGCCACTGCAATCAGCCGAAGAAAATTACGTCCTTCTGCGCTTGAAAACAATCAAACAAAAAAACGACGGCACAATCTGGGGCTGAACATACCACATAATAGACCAAATGCAAAATCGATTAACATTTTTTCGTGTTTTAAATTTGTGAATGTATTCAGTTATTAAAGGTAATTAATTTTTCTTATTCTCATTGTTTATTCTTTCTTAACCCATTACTCTTCAGTCATCACTTGTAAGGTTACAATAAATCAAGCACATTGTTTACAGCGTGGTAAATAATGTCCTAGAAAACATCGCCTTCTTAGCGGTCAAAGCTCACTACACTACAGCTTACAGCAGCGTTGTAAAGCAGTAAGGATTGCTAAAGCAAACGCAGCGTACATTTTAACATACCTTACTGCAGTGCAACTTGGTACTGCGTTGCACCGTAGTAAACAATGCCTTTACGCATCCCGGCGTTTTTAAATCCGCTGATAGCATTTTGGGGTGTTGCTACTCGAATATATACCTGACCGAACAAGCCTCCAATGTCTGCAATAGTAACCACACGGCCTGGATGGTTTCGAAGCCACGTCTTCACATGTTGTTCATAAAATGTGCTTAACGGATACATAAATGAAATATCTAGCGGTTGCATACGGTGGGTTGTGTGTGACAGAAGAACAAGTATATAAATATTGTTCTTCCGTGCAATGTCAAGTGGAGTTAAATTTTTCACATGTCCATCCAAAATTAATAAGACTGGATTTTCTTTCGGAGACTTGGAATATTTATTAAAGTGATTTATCCAGGTTGGAGCAAATATTTAATAATAATACATAATGCCTTTATTAAATTGGTGAAAGTAGAAAAATACAGTTTAAAATGGTGAAATGGGGCGAAGTTCAGTTCCACAGTAAAATACCGTAGTCTGCTCTACCACTTAACCCCGTACATTACATGTATACTACAAATAGTAATTCTGTTTGCATCCAGCCTGCCGCGTGGTACACAATTTCTGTTTTTGGCGGAAATCCTATTTCCAACAGGGGATTTCTTCGTACTCGCGGCAAAATTACTAGAGGAACTGACCCAAAGCATTACAACAAATGAGTGACGCCTCTTTCGGTTGAAGATAACGATCCAACTTGCTTCTTTCCTTTTCTGGCAATTATTTTTGAGGGTTTGTTTGGAACCGTTGTATTTCCCGTTTCGTCGCAATTGTAAATTGAGCTAGACCGGAAATTATATTTTTCCATAACCCTCCCTAGAAGTTCAAAAAACTTGCCGACGTGTATAAAAGAAACTTTTATTTTTTTCTACTAAGCCAACAAAATTGAAACTGAACCAAGGGTGCAGGAAGTTGGCTACACGTATGAAGCACAAATGAGGCGACCAGGCTAAATCCTTAGTGCTTCGTTAGTGCTTCATACCCGAACCCAGCCACACCTACGGTTTTTGAGATACGGGACCTCAAAGTTAGCACCTGGAAGTTGGTTACAACTTTTTTCTTTTTGAAGCACAAATGAGGCGACCCCACTAAATCCTTAGTGCTTCATTGTACTTCATACTCGAACCCAGCCACACTTGCGGTTTTTGAGATATGGGACTTCAAAGTTAGTACTTGGAAGTTGGCTACAACTTTTTTCTTTTTAAAGCACAAATGAGGCGACCAAGCTTAGTGCTTCATACTCGAACTCAACCACACCTACGGTTCCTGAGATGTGACACCTCAACTGAATGTTTTATTTCCGTTTAGAATGCGGACGAGACATATCCATATCATGCAAAATTGGTACCGTGCTATCAAAAATTATCGTGATCTCAGTTGGTTGCTCGGTCTATGCTGTCACATGTAGATCTGTCAAAATCCAGGCGACTCGACCAAGGAGAGAAAACAGCGCGTCAAATACTTGAAAAATAGAAATCCGTATATTAAAAACTGAACTCACTTAGGTCATACATGCTACTATTACAAGAACTGTTTAAAGAGAATACAGAATTAGATGAAGGTTGACCCTATAATTTGACGACACAGTGGCGAACTCTTTCGAGCAGTCATCAAAGAGTTCCCATAGTCCATCCAGTCTTTTTGCATATGTCATGTAGTGGCCAATAGCTTTAACGGAGTGAGTCGATGGTTGCTCAAAATGAATGACTGCCCTTAAGATGTAAGTCTTCTCACTATACTGGAGCTGAACGGGTATTTCGTTCAAAGCGACGTAGCCGTTGTCGCAATCGATGAATAGAAAGGGTCTTGTGATACAACGAGCATGATTTTCAATATTGCACGTCTTGCAAAAAAACGATTTGTTTTTTATATTGTTTTGCATTGTTGCGAAAAAATCTTTTTTCTCCTCACAGTCGATGGTAACGAATGGAATTTCATTTCGTCTCAGAAAATTCAATATAATTCTTCAGTCTAGTTTTAGCGGCGAAAAAATCAAATACCTTACTCAAACACAACATAACCGTGAGTTAGGAAAATTAAATGACAAAGTTATTTTCTGAAAACCTGTCGGTAGACTATTAACACATTACTTTTTGGTAATAAACACAAAAACACAATTATTTCAAGATGCAGCTATGTGGTACGTATGAGAAAATTGTATTGCTTTTCACAATTATCAGAAGAGTGCGGATAAATAGTTATTTTTAGTACAAGTGAGAAAAAGTACTATTTACTCTTAGGCTCTAGATTTGAATACACGAACGAGCGTACTTCGTCGTACGTACATTAGACGTACCTACTGTTATGTATGTATAATGTACTTACTTTTGGCAACGTACATAATACGTCCGTAAATCCAGCGCTGTACGTACTATGTATTTGCAATGTATGTACTGTGTTATTTGGGAACTAGCCGTGTTGTTTAGTTGTTCTGTGGGGATATTCCTTTACGTTTGCATTACGATTACAGTGAAGCTGTTCTTTTGCAATTATGGGACAAATGTGTTCGAAAATATCGAGAGATTTCGCGATAGTTCTAACTTGCCCTTTCCTGGTTTCCTTTCTAGGTAAATCACCTTGGAACCAAACACTTTGAGGTGACTGAAGTTGGGTACCTTTCCCGTCCATATTTCGTATGGAGTAATTCCATTCAGGCTTTTTGAAGCACATCTATTCCTTATGTAGTTCGCCCTATTCACAGCTTCAGCGCAGAACGATGAAGGAAGCCCGGATTCTATAAGTATGCAACGTGTCATCTCTTGAGGTGTGCGGTTCTTGCGTTCCGCTACCCCATTTTGTTCAGGGTTGTGAGAAATTGTTAATCGCCTCGAAATTCCGCGACTTTTTAAATATTCCATAAAATCGTAATTTGCATACTCTCATCGTTACTAATTTTTAGTCTGGCGTATAAGTCAAGAATATGAGAAGAAGTTCGCACTTTGAGGTAAAGTTTTGAATAGAAAGACCCGTGGTAAGTGTAATAAAAATCACTTTGCTGTAAAATCGCTTTCATTTGCAATTTCCACGCATCAAAATTGTTATTCTTTAATGGCTCAATTCGCTACATTACGCCATCCATTTCAACACGCACTTTGCACAGAAAAATAAATTCGCAAACACGGAACTGATTAAACCCTTTACGAAGCTGGGCCCGTAACCTTTTAGATTAATTATAAAATCTATTTAACAACGTGAACGAGAATACTGTACAAATTATGTTTTTACTATAACGACAATTACTTATCTTGATTCAATATTTCCTTTCTCGATCATGGAATATTAAACGTAACATTTTGCATTCCATATACAGTCAAACTCGGATATAACGAACACTCAAGGGGGAAAAGGAAATGATCGTTATAGCCGGGCGGCCGTTATAGCCGAGCCCCGTCATAACAAAAGGTGTATGTACATCTTGCAATATGTACATATTTTATATATGTATGTACATACATATAAAGAAAAACAATAATTAGTATTGTGTGACATCACATTTATTTCATTATTTTAAAATACTTACATACATATGTACGTATGGATGTATGTATTTTGATTATAACAAGAATGAAACTCTTAAGATCTACTTACGTCTAAATAATTCAAAATCGGAAAAAAATGTATTATTACTACATAAGATAAACTCAACCTAAAAAAAACAAAACTCTATGTTCTACAATTTAAAAAACTCTGTAACTTTTGTTTGCTTTTTACGTTTTTCTAAAAGAGATTTCTGAATCGTACCATGAATAAGTTCTAATGCGTTAATACAATCATCGGTGGGATTATTAAAACGTAAAAACTTATTTACTGTCTCCAATGAGTCCAAGGCTTCCAATGTCGTAGGCAGCTCCCTTTGATTTTCTCCTTCTGTACTATCTTCTCCTTTTTCTAGTTCTTCGCTTTCAATGTCGATTTGGCTGCTTACTGAAGACACTATCTCTGCATCAGAAGGAAACTCAGCTACAACTAAATTGTCATCGGCAGTGGCATACTCTGTTAAATTAAAGTCATCAAAATCTGTTATTGAGTTACTTTTTGCCCACTCATTCAAATCTGGTATATTATCTATTTCTTTACTTCTTTCCTTCTCTATCCATAAAGCCAATGGAATGTCGTCGTCTTCGTCAAACGCATCACGCCCAATATCTAATCCTGCATGACGGAAGCAGTTCAAGATGGTTGTAGAGCTGACTCGTCCCCAAGCAGTCACTAGCATCATAACAGCGTCTAGTAATGTAATTTTTAAATCATTATTACTATCTAAAGCGCGAATTAACTTAAACAAAAGCTGCTGCCTATAATGAGATTTCAAACTACGTATGACGCCCTGATCCATAGGTTGAAGCACGGCTGTAACATTTGGAGGCAAAAAGATTAACTCAATGCGTTTAAGATTGAGTACCTTTGGATGGGCCGGACAGTTATCAACCAATAGCAAAATTTTCCTTTTCCTTTTCTCCAATTCCGTGTCCCAATCTCTCAAAATTTTTTCGAAGATCTCCGATGTAATCCATGCTCGCTTATTTGAATAGTACGTCACTGGAAGATTTTTTGTTGCCTTAAAGCATCTTGGTGAAGCAGACTTGCCAATTACAACAAGTCTACGTTTTTCAGATCCATCCATGTTTGAACAGACAAACACAGTAATGCGCTCCTTACTCAATTTTCCTCCAGAACATTTATCTCCTTTGAATTTTAGGGTTCTGTCAGGTGTCAGTTTAAAAAATAATCCGGTTTCATCACCGTTAAAGGTGTCACACTTTTCATATTTACTTCTCAAACCAGGCCAAACTGTATTTATCCACTGGTTGGTAACTTCCAAAGACACACTAGCCGATTCACCATGAATTTTCCCAGATTGAATGTCATATCTGCGTTTAAAGCGGTCAATCCATCCTCTAGAGTATTCAATTTCTTTCGATGAAGACCCTGGTTCTTCTTGTGATTCCTGAGTATTCAGAGTTTTCGTAATTTTTTCAAATTCCGCAGCTTTGGCTTGAAGAATGGGTCCCGAAATAGGAATGTTCTGGCTACGTTTTAATGAAAACCATTTCAGAAGTGACTGGTCTACTTCTGGCTTAGACGACCCTCTTAGCTTTTTGGTAGAAGGAGAATTTACATGTTGGACGCTTAAATACTTTTCCTTATTTGCCCATACCGTTGAGACAGTCGACTTGGACAACTTATACTCCCTACAAATCGCAGCGTTTGCTGCACCATTCTGTAACTTTGTAATAATTTCGATTTTTTGGCTTAATGAAACAGCTTTCCGCTTATTTATAGCTTTCACATTTTCCTCCGCCATTGAAAAAAATATTGCACGCGCGGCACCGAAGGCAATATGAGTCACACTAACTACGTTGAACTACCGATCGTCATGACTCACGACGACACACCCGGGCGAGGTCATATGTGGTGGGGAAACCGTCGACGGTTCGTTATAGGCGATCGCTCTGATCAGTTCGAGCGTAACAATTAGTACGTTATATCAGAGTGTTCGTTATATTCGAGGTTCGTTATAAGCGAGGACAGATTACATGCTTTTAATACAGCATTCTGATGTGCCTTTAAATTTCGTTCGTTACAAGCAAGCGTTCGTTATATGCCGAGTTCGTTATACCCGAGTTTGACTGTATAATTTTTGCTGATGATAGCGATATGCGATTGTAGCGAGACGGTTTATGGCGGTTATGAAGTTCTCCATTATATTGTAAAATTCATAGTTTTCATATTCTAGAGATTTGCGGTGAAATTTTCACCAGCCGCCACTGAACGAAATGAACCCCCAAAATAATCACCTTCAGCAATCCATCAAATTCATAAATAAACGACAAAATACAAAGTGATTCATTCTACTTACCTACAAATTGATGTTTTATTTCATAATAAGTGACTAGGACACAAAATGTTATACTATCACCGCTTTTATACTAATGATGAGTAATGCTAATAACTCATGCGTTCCGTCCAGCTACAGAAACTACAAAACTAACGTAAGCAAAACTGATCTTGGTACCTGAAAGAACAAGGCGCGTGCGCATATGATCACTAGGGTGGAGTGAAAAAAACCAAAAAAATTTTTTTTTCAAATTTTGTAACTCCTGGGTTATCAAAAGTTGTCACTTGGCAATAGCTCACTAATAGATAAAAATTATAAATTTCTATTGAAGCTTTCAGGTGGCGCACTGAAGTTGAATTTTGAAAAAAAAACTAAATTTGCCAAAAAATCAAACACACATTACTAACCATATTTTTGAATATTTATTAATGAAAATGGTGCAAAATAAAAGAAAGTAGTACATATTTAAGTGTAGTATGGAAATTAACAACAAATTCGATTATTGAAGTATATAAAAACAGACGAAATCTCATACAAAAAATTGCGATTTTGTGTCGAATTTTGGTACTTCTGTTCGTGATTTAATTCTTGCTCGAATGTATCCATCTCTCGCTTTGCTACCACACACTGCTGAACTAGCCTCTGTTACAAGTTTCACACCTCGTTCTACAGCTTGTGAGTGGCAAGGGAATTCCTCGACTGTAACTTTGAAGTTGGCACTAGTAATTTTCTGCAATATTTCGCTGTCAGTATATTTTTGTGTAATAGGCGGCTCGTAGATTTTTTCCGTGGTCCAATCTATTAGGTCGTAGTATTCATTTGCTTCAAAATTCAATTTCGGGGTAATAAACTCTCTTACCTTCTTTCCTTTGTTGGTCTTTCTAGCTTTCATTATTCTTCTTAGAGCTAATTCTTGGATGTGGCCTCTTTCATCCTGAAGCATAGCCAATAAAACATTTTCGGAGTGAGCAAAGAAAGAGTTTCGCTGTATGGTTCGAAAAACAATCGCTTTCTTGTCATCTTCTAAATAAGCACACCTCTTTATCATATTAAGTATATGTTGTGGACCATATCTGCAAGAAGGCATCAGTTTTATGTCGAACCACGTCGGTGCGTACACTTTTATCACGAACTCGGCGAGCTCAACTAGACTCTGAGACGGTTTGGCGGTTCCCACATATAATCTTAAGATCCTATTTGCACAAGTAAGCCAGCGACTGTGCGCCAATTTGCCTGGCTGCTTATTAGCCAGGTCAGGAGGAATAAGACCTTGTGTAATTGAAATACACACTTCGTAGAGGTATTTTTGATCATTACTCAGAAGGTTCACATCTATGTCAGGTAAATTCGCTTCAATTTTGCTAAATGTCACCACATGTAACCCCTCACAACTCTGTAACTGTTTACCAATCGTTCCTATGAAGCTATTAGGGCCAGAAGTACTTCCATCTAAATTAATAAACAAATGACGCAGTGGTAACTCGTTTGCGTGTAACATACACACAAACCAGTGTAATAGGCGATGCAATTGTTTCTCTATTAGAGCAACTACTCCATTTTTTGAACCGGTGTTAACTGCTGTCCCATCACATCCAATGGCGACGAGGGATGATACATCTTTGAAGTGCAAATTCAGGAATTGCAATATACCACCCTTGATAGAAGAAGCTGTTCCAGAAATGACATGCCCTATATAGCGAGATCCTGGCTCAGCGAGCAGTACTATGTGTTCTTCTGTGATTGTTTTTCTATAACGTTTGTTTCCACGCTCTTCCTGGATTATTGTTTTATCTTTTCGTCCATCAAAGTACAAACCAAGTAGCGGACTGTCGGGATTTTCTAATTTCTGCAGGTTATAACGTGAGGTTAGTTCGGCGCTGTAAAACTCAAACCCCGCCGCATAAACGGCCAGCTAGCTCAGATTCTTAATTAAAAGAAGGGCTCGAGATGAGAATCTTCCACAGCGGTTTGTTCGTTTGGGCATATAACATAAGTTTTTGATCTTTGGTAGTCACTAGAAATGATTAGTTGAGCGCCACCCAATTTTGCACAAATTCTGACCTCTCCTGTATAGAAATTGGGAAAACACAAGAGAGCCAAATAATAAATTCACTACGAGCAATTCTGATTTATTAATCCTGACAAAACGGTGCAGGATCGGCAAATAAAATGTATCTTCAATACGACAATAACAAATACTTTAAATGACAAAAATAATCCCCAAATAAATTCCTGAACACTTCCCTAATAATTACGTTACCAGACCCCTACAACAATGATCGAGCAAAAATGTAGTTAAGATTTCAAATAGATTCCAAGATTGAATTAAGTTAACCCGAATAACAACTCATATAGGCAACACTGGGTACAAGTAAATTAAAAATCTTACCTTGAATAACACATACGCTGTCTTCTCCGAAAAAGAGCTCTCCTTCGAAGTTCCAGTTCTGTAACACAAAAACAAACCGCAAGCTACAACGCTCGGAACGATTATATGAGCCGGAAGGGCCAAAAATAGCTTACTCGTAGCCGGCTCGTTTACCCATACGTTAAATACAGGTGCGTTGCTCTTGAAGAGAGTCACGACCTCAAACACTTGATGCGAACAAAATACAAAGCTCCGATCATAAATCGTCGGAAGGTTACACTAGATTAACGGTATTGAAGCAAATAAAAAAGGTTGTGTAAAAGATCGTATCTTCCGAAAATTCCACAATCAGCTGGTCGCTCCCGGTATCGTTTAGGTGTTAGCGCTTATCTACTCGGTGGTACGCCGGATAGCTGCCGGCAATCAACAGGTGTTCGTACTCCGGAATATTCGCAAGATGCAAATTCATTTACATACAAGAATTCATCTACTACATGGATTGACCGGTACAAGAATTCGTCTACTACATGGACCCCCTAAAAGTAATGAAGATGTAACACTCCCTTAACGAGATCTTTAATAACATACCTGAAATCGTCAGGAGGGTAATGAAAAATACTTAAATCAATGAAATATGGAAATTATCCAAGAGGTTGTGAATCTGAAAGAATTTTAGATAACATAACGTAAAAGAAAGCCAACGCCATTTCACTTACATGTAGGTAGGGCGATGAACTTCCACCAGATATAGCCTCACAACGGAGAAAACGGCTTCTGAGTTACTCTACTCGACAACGCCAATAAACAGGTAAAATTGCCAGAGATTTTACGTGAATGATGGCAAATATTACCCACTGGTTTTAGAAGAATTCACAATGCCACGCTCTACAAGTACAACCTCGTTGGATTTAAAACGGAAATGAAGTGAAAAAATTACGCGATTCTGCGCGAGGAAAGAAGCACGCGTACAAGTGACGCCATCTCACCTATATCCTGCCTAACGTAGCAAGCGGTAATTTTGAAATTTGAATATAAATAAACTAAACTGTTACAAGGTCCTCTCGCATTTTCTGGCGCTCACGTCGCAACTTACTTCTGTCTATTATTTTTGACTTGTCTTTCTGTGAAATAATATCTAAATCTTTTAAAAGTGCACTTGCAATGAGTGATCCTGACCTATCAGAGACACCTGCCCTATCGCAAACAGCGGCCAGATTTTTCAGACGCAGTCTCATTTGTTTATTTGTTTTATTTGTCGCGGATTCGCTGGTAGTTGGTGTTATTACACTGTGGTAAAAATCAGGATCGATTGAACTTTCTTCCATGTGTTCAGAATCACTCTCTGAAGAAGAAATGTTGGCTGATATAGCGTCCGATGAGAGACTAGGTTGTTTCATAACAGATTGTGATTGCCGCAATTCTTCAAATTCACGTCTCAATTGCTTACGCGCCATAACTTTCGTACTCTTAGCATCTATTGACCCTATATACATTTTCCGATCTCCTCTCTGATCAGTTAAAAACTCTCTTTCTGCTCGAGGTATTTTCGTAGAACATTTGCAGGAATCTAAACAGGCGCACTTACAGACTGATATGTCGAAGAGTGTTTTTCTCGCAGTTTCATAAAAGTCTGCCTTTTTTTGCGTTACTCGACATTTCATTAGGTTTTTGTATTTTTTGTAGTAATCTATTAGTCTTGAAATGATCTGTTGGTTAGAGATAATAGGAAGTGATGCTTTCTTCCACAGATTTGACAAATCAGTTGCTATTTTCGCACATATCTCTTTGATAGAAGGATCCTTTCCATTTGAAATCCACATCAAGTCACTTCTCACCCACAAATAATGTTTTATTACTTCCGCACAAGTAGGTAACATATTGTCTTTTAGTTTTTCTGGACCACCAAATACAGAACATGACAAATCTTTTCTTGTTTTAGGCATTATTTTAGAAGTAAATGTCGCGTTTTTTCACCGTTGTTTCGAGGGACGTGCTTTCACCTCCGGGTATCGATGCGAACTAAAATGAATGCTAAAGTGCAGTAAGATGTAAACACAGATAGGGGGGAGGGTCGCGGACCGCGGTAAATATAAAACTGAACCACTTCTAAGTGGCGCGAAAATTCAAATTTATTTGTAACTTTGGAGCTCGTGCGCCACCTGAAGATGATGTGCAAAATACTTAATATTCGGCGTGAGTAAGTAACTCACTTATAGGCAAGTTTTAGTAACCCAGGACTAATCAAATTTAAAAAATTTTTTTTTCACTCCACCCTAATGATCACGTGCAAAATTACCAGTTATCGAAATTGCCCCGTCGCTCACTGATCTCGAAAAAGAGTCGCACGGGAAGGTTATAGTTTGTACATACCAATTTATTTCGATGAGACCTTCCATTAGAATACCATGAAGGGTAGAACATGTGCCCCCCCCCCCCCATTCCCTAAAGTTTAACTTAGCACCACTAAAGGCATGCGTATGCAAAATCGGAGGGAAGGGGATGGAATATCCTTTATCACAAGATTATTAGGTCCAGGTTGGGTTTCAGTGTTTCCTTCTGGGGGTGGATTTGTTGTAGGGCTATCATGAAGCACTGTTTCATCTTCAACCTGCGATTTTTCCTTTTCTGGTATGTGGACTTGGTCGCTGATTTCGGGTGGTGAAAGAGTAGGTGGAAGAAGACATTTTAATGACATACAGTTTAATTCTCTGTTACGGTCTTTAAATTGGAATTATATATATGAACTCTGGGATGTTAATGATTTGTTACACTTTTTATTGTCATTCCCAGTGTGATATGCTTTGCTGTCTTCATTTTGCCATTGTGGACTGCATAAATTACGTCTTCAGCCAATGATTTTGACTTTCGCAAGCAATCCACGCTATTCCTACGACGCCTTTTCCCTGGCCCTGCAAGTAACGTTTGGGATATATATATATATATATATATATATCATAAAACAATCGCTGCTCTTTGTAACAAATCTTCTGTTGCCAAATTAGTAAATTCTTCACTAAGAATAAACCAGTAATAGATATATATATATATATATATATATGTTATCGGTTAATTTTGGCTACACTTTCTCGTATAAAAAGGTAAGTTCGGCTACACAATGTCAAGTTTGGCTACGTAGTCAAAGTTGATACACTAGTCGTGGTAAACTGAGGCATATTTGACTACAAAAGTTTGGCTACAGGAACATATACATTCTACCATGTTAGTGTAGTCGAATTTCAAGTACATGCACAATATTTGTTCACGTAAAACAATCGCTGCTCTTTGTAACAAATCTTCTGTTGCCAAATTAGTAAATTCTTCACTAAGAATAAACCAGTAATATATATATATATATATAAATTTATCTTCGATTAGTAAAAATTGAAGTTTTGTTTTCATAAACAGCATTGCATTGTCACGAATTCAATTTGGTTTTCTATTACAATCATTTTATCCCTACGAGTACGAGTAAAAGGTAAGAGAAGAGAAAAATGTAACGATGGTGGGGAATAGCCCAGCACGTGACGGAAGGGGCCATCAATTACTTCCTTTGCGCTGGTTAGTTATGTTGACAATATTGCGTACTACGATTGCTGGTAGATGGCGTATGTGCACTATTTTGTGTTTTGGTCAGTTTTGTGGTGATTTTGGGACTTGTAATTCCCACATGATAAACTCGTTCGTAATTGTTTCGGCGAAAAAAATCATACAACATTATACATATACAAGAACTCGAAGGGTGTGTTTTTTTTTGTTGTGTAAAATTGTATTTCATTTAATATAGGCAGTGCAGTAGGCAGTAATATATCATCTATTAAAGTTATTGTCAAAAGGTGATGTTTTTTGGCACTTAAAAAATTAACTTTTTCTTTACTCATACTTAACTGACTTAGGAACAAAAATAATTTTTAAAAAAATAAAAGCAAACAGTTAGTAACATTATGTTTACAATATTTTTGCCAAACATAGTTTTACAAAGCTTGCTTGAATTTTGCGTGGTGCATTAAAACTGAACTCTAATCCCGCTTAACTACTTAAGCTCTTACGTGAGCTCGGCTTATTTCAAGAGAAATGCAGATGGCCATAAGTTATACTTTAACATATCGGTTAAAGGGAATGATGTTAAACCAAAGCATTATAGCATTATACGGGGCTATATATATATATATATATATATATAAATTGAAATATATTGAAAAGTACATAAATATTTAAATATTACAAGATGCGTAAGTAAACGCTTGTCTGCATCTTGAAATTAAAGTTGCTGTGGTCTCCGTTATATTAACAAAACTTTTATATATATATATATATATATATATATATATATATATATATATATATATTATATATATATATATATATATATATATATATATATATATATGCTCGGCCGGAGTTAATTAAGAAACTTAAGTCTGGGAAAATCGAATCCGTAATTAGTGTGTTTAAATGTAATAAATTTTGTCTTGTTATTGTTAAATTCGTGGAAGTTAGCAGAGTGTACGCGCTTTGCGCAAGTGTTACTTTAGATAAGGAAACTTTTAGTTGTTTAAGAGCGAATTTCATAGGAATTTTGGCGTGTTAAAACTCGTAAAAGTGCCAGTCTAAGTTGATTTACGATCGGTAATAGTTTCATTTATGCAATTATGTTATTGGTCCGCGGAGTCGAACGTTAAGTTTTATCGGCCCCGAAATTCAAATTTTTCATGGAAAGCGTCGCAACGAGATTTGACGATACTGGGGTATAAATGGTTTTGAACAGCGAAGAGAAGGCGCTTATTGTACCGTTTCGCGAAGCCTACGTTTGTCTTATGTGAAAATTTTTGGAAAGTTTATTGTAGCGGCGTTTGCTAAAGTTACGCCAGTTTATTCATCGTCTATTGTTATTTGAAAGTCCGGGAACGTGTGGATTACGCCGGCATCGAAGAGTTAAGAAGGTTTTTGGACGGAGTTTGTTGAAGGGAAACGAGCGGTACAATAACGCCATTTTAGCAGCGAGATTTCGTTTGCGTTGTATTTTACATCATCTGGAGTAGGCGGAACGTTTGTTT